ATATTTGCCTGCCTTGCTAGGTTGGGGAAGTTTTCCTGGATAATATCCTGAAGAGTATTTTCCAGCTTGGATTCATTCTCTTCGTCGCATTCAGGTATATCTATCAAACGTAGATTAGGTCTTTTTACATAGTTCCACATTTCATGGAGACTTTGTTCATTCCTTTTTACCCTTATTTCTCTATTCTTGCCTTCCTGTTTTATTTCATTGAGTTGATCTTCTACATCTTATATCCTTTCTTCTGCTTGGTCAATTTGGCTGTTGATACTTGTGCATGCTTCGCGAAGTTCTCATGTTGTGTTTTTCAGCTCCATCAATTCAGTTATATTCCTTTCTATTTTGTCCATTCTCGTTAGCATTTCGTCAAATCTTTTTTCAAGTTCTTAGTTTTTTTGGCATTGGGTTATAACATGTTCTTTTTGTTCACAGAAGTTTCTTACTACCCACCTTCTGAAGTCTGATTCTGTCATTTCATCACACTCATTCTCCATCCAACCTTGTTCCCTTGCTGGTGAGGAGTTGTGATCCCTTTTAGGAGGAGAGGTGTTCTGGTTTCGGGTGTTTTCATCCTTTTTGTGCTGGTTTCTCCCCATCTTAATGGATTTATCCACCTGTGGTCTTTGTAGTTGCTGACTTTCAGATTGGGTCTCTGAGTGGACATTCTGTTTGTTGATGATGAAGTTATTTCTGTTTCTTAGTTTTCCTTCTAACAGTCTGGCCCCTCTGCTGTAGGACTCCTGAGGTCCACTCTAGGCCCTGCTTGCCTGGGTATCGCCTGCAGCAGCTGTAGAACAGTAAGGGTTGCTACCAGTTTCTTCTTCTGCTATCTTTGTCCCAGAAGAATACCCGCCAAATGTCAGTCTGATCTCTCCTTTATGAGGTGACTCTTTGGATATACAGGTGTCAGGGAGCTGCTTGAGGAGACAGTCTGTCCTATATAGGGGCTCAAGTGCTGAGCTGTGAGCTCCATTTTTCATTTAGAGCTGCTGGGCAGGTACGTTTAGGTCTGCTGTAGCAGAACTCATAAACCACTTTTTGTTCCCTGGTGCTCTGTCCCAGGGAGTTAGGGCTTTATTTATGAGTTTCCGTTGTGCTGCTCCCTTTTTTTTTCAGGGCTGCCCTGCCCAGCAAGAAGGCAGCCTGTTCACTGTCTGCCTGCAGAGGCTTTGCTGAGCTGCTGTGGGCTCCGCCCAGCTGCCGTGTGAACTTCCCTGCAGTCTTGTTTATATGGGTGTAGTTAGAACTGCCTTGGCAATGGTGGCCCGCCTCTGTGTTGGTGGACTCTCTCTGTAATGGCAGGTTGCCTTGGCAGTGGCAGGTAGCCTCAGCAATGGCGGGTTGCCTTGGCAACGGCAGGCTGCCTCAGCATTGGTGGACTACCTCCTTAGTGTAGGTAATGCCTCGGTAATGGCGGACGCCCCTCCCCCACAGAGCTGGACCATCCCGGGTTCAGCTGCCCTTGCTTTGAAACTCTCCATCCAGAGATTTCTGATTGCTCTTCTTTTGTGGTGATGGGACCAAGCCTGATCACCTGGCTCCCTGCCTCAGAGCCTTTTTTTTTGTTTTTTAGTTAAAGAGTCGACTCTATCCCAATCGCCTGTTGAAAGGGCACCCTGGGATCTGTGTGATTTCCCATGTGGCGACTCACTGTGCCGGCTTAAACAGCAGTGCTGAGATTTGTGGTGCTTTTTTTGCCCAGGAATCTCCTGGCTTTGCTCCCTGTTCAGTTCCCTCTTTAATCAGATGGATGGGCGACTTCCTGTGTCTCCAATTGCCAGCCAAAAGGGCACCCGGACCAGTGTATTTTGTACAGAGAACTGCTGGCTGGGGCTCCAACAAAGCAGCTGCACTGACCAAAAGAACCGTGCCGGCCACAACAGCCATGCTGGCGACACTTGGGGCTCCTCCGCCTGGGAATCTCTTAGTCCGTGGGCAATAAAAATGCTGCCTCCACTCACCCTCTGCACTTTCACTGGGAGCCGCAACTCTGAGCTGTTCCTAAACGGCCATCTTGGATCTTCCCCCAAAGATTCTCTTATATATGACAAAATCCATTGAACGTGCATTCCACAGTACAGATGGTCAAATGAGCCTTTTAGTTTCAATGAAGAAGTAGAATTCACAGTGAAGGAACTCAGCAAGAAATTAAATGATGTAGCTTCATCCACTAGCAGAGAGCAAGTCAGATTCCCACAGCTTACCTTGACCTCATTGTACCCAGGCCCATGGCTGCTTGATGAATCTCACCTCAGCTTCTAATCACTGAATCCACAAATTTGCATATATGTCCATCTTTCTTTTCTTTCCTTCAGTTAAAGTGGAAAGATTCTCCCTTCTTTTAAAGGTGTGTTCTACTATAATTGCTAAGAATTTTTTTTTTAAGAACTTTGCTCCTTCAGTTATCTCCTCTTTACATCATCATTTCAAGAGCATTGATTTTTTTTCTCGTTTTTCCCATCTTTCTCCCCTAGATCGTTTGCATCCCTCTAGCTAACAGCCCATTTCTCTGCTGCTTCCTAGCTAAACTTCTCTTAAAAGGTATTCTTACTGTCGCTACATTTTTATTTCCATTTGTTTTCAGTCCACTTGTCAAGGTCTTTAATTAGTTTTTGCCAAATCTATTTGACATTTTTATATCCACATTCTACTTGGCGTTTAGGTACTACTTGGTAGGTGGCCCTTTTCTTCTTTAACACTCCTACTTCTTGGTTCTCCTGGTATTCTTCCAACCCTGTGGCCCTTCTTTCTCAGTCTTTTTGATAGCTCATCTTCGTGCTCTTCTCAGCTCACAAATGTTGGAATCCTTCAAGATGAAAATGATCTTCCTGGGCTTTACTCCCTGTATTTTTTTTTTCATCATTCTTTTACTAAATGATTTCATTTAATCCCCATAGTTTTAAATACTGTCTATAAGCTGATCAGTGTGTGTGTCCAGACTTCTCTCTAAACTTCTGAATTACATACCAAACTGCCTACTTCAGTTACCTACTTGGATGTCAAACAGGTCTTTTAGATCTCATAAGTCTAAAATTGAAGTCTTTACTCCCCACCCCCAATTGTCCTCCAGTCTCCAGCACACTCCCCCCCAGTCCACAGTTTAATCAGTGGCACTGCTAAAAACTTGGAGGTCATCCTTGATTCCTTTGGTTCCATCATCCTTCCCACACACATACCACCTCCACTGCCTTTATTCAGGATACCACTATCTCTGGCCTGGGTTACTCCAGTTACTTTATTATTCCCTTGCCTTTTCCCCTTAGCTCTTTCCAATTCATTTGTCATGTAAATCTGCTGATCACACAGTCCATCTCACTTAGAATATAAAATCCTTACTGCTGCCTTCATGGTCTTGAAGAAGCAAGTTCCTGCTTACCTCTCTGGTGTCTCATTTCAAGATATTCTCCATGTATTTATGATATCATTCATCTGTTCTCATTCATATTTATTCTTATTCATAGTTGCCTCTCTCCTTCTGAAATCCACAACAACTTCTTTTTAGTTTCTAGGACACACCAAACTCTTTTTGCCTTGGAGCTTTGGCACCGATTTCCTCTTCTTGACATGCACTATCCTTGCTCTTCGCTTAGAATGCAACCGTTGCCTGTTCATTTTCTTTCTCACCACTTAGCTATAAGTTCCCCGTGGGCAAGGATCATGGACAGCAAAGACCCAGTACATAGCACAGTACCTGACACATAAGCATTTAGTAAATATTTGTTAAATGAATGAATGTGGTCAGTAAAATCTCGGATTTTATGAAACAAACTGATCTCTATTCTGTACCTTGCCAAATAACCCCAAGGCTTCCTGGCTATGAAAAGGCAGTCCAAATAGCAAAATTTAATTCTCTTATCTATACTTTCATTCTGTAACCTACTAAGTCTCTACCTTGAATGTACATTGCTTTTATAATTAGAAAATATATAAATTTGGAATATACACAGATATATTAAAATGTTTACAATTTTGAAAATAGAAAAATAAATAAGCCTAAAAATTGGGAGTTTTAGTGTTAAGAAGTGAAAAATGCAAAAGCTAATTTTGTCATCTTTTATATGGAACAGGGAGTGAATTGATACTATGTAAATTTGAAATATAATGTTAAAAAAAGCTCCAAACTCTTAATTTTTTATGGTCTTTTTTCTTTAAGGAGCTCTTTGGGAAATAATCTTTCTTGTAGGAAAGCTATTTCTTGAATTGTATTTTCATTTTCTTCTATTAAAGTAAAATTAAATATATTAATTTTTTTAAAAATATATGTAAACAAGTTCTGTCACCCAGAAACACTTCTTATATGTATGAAGATATAAGTACAAAGATTTCCACTGCTTATTGTTTCTAAAAATGAGAGTAGAAATTGATAAATTATGGTTCATGGGACCACTATTCTGTGTTTAATAATGATGCTGATATATGTTTAATGACAAAGGTAGATGTCTGCTATGTTAAGTGAAAAAAAAATTAGCTGCAAAATATATGGGACTGTACATTTTTCAAAGGCAAAAAAATACTTGGAACTTATATGCAACTATGTATATGAGTAAATGTGTGTATATTTGGTTTCATATAAAGAATGCCTAGAAGAATACACACCAAATAGTGCATTTAAAAAACAAGTTAGAGAATGATACATATTACATGATCCTAATTTTGTTGCAAAAGAAAATTTTAAAACTGTGCACTGTTGTAGTCTTTGGCTTTTGAAGGACTGAATGATACCCATCAAAACACTGGCATCGATTTCCTCTGGGAATTCGAAGTGGGGTACTTAAATTTTTTTACTTGATGCACTTAGTATTTGAAATGTTCACAAAAAACGTTTAACACCTTTATGAGGTTTTTAATGTATAAAAATAAGACAGGAGAAAATTATTACAAAAGAAGTATAATATCCTAACCAGTGAAATTCACCAACAGCTAAAATTTTAACGTATATACATACCATATTGATGTATAGACTCATGATGATCTGATGTTTATCTGTCACCTCTCCCCCACAGGAATAAATGAAGAAGAGGAAAAGAAAAAAGAAAAAAGCAAAGAAAAAATCAAGTTGAAAAAAAAAAGGAAAAGGTATTTTTTAACAGCATTTTTTAAAACAGTAAAGCAAGACTGTGAGTTTAGGATGGATTATAAAATTTGTGTGTGTGTGTGTGTGTGTGTGTGTGTGTAATGTAGTTAATTTAGTATGTTTTCTTCAATAACTAAGCTTTCAATTGGACTTAAGTTTAAACTCTTAATATATATTTTGTCCTCATATACATGAAGTTGACAAAAATATTTGTATTCTTGTAATATTACCATGGCTAATAAATTAACTTATTAATAGAATCTAATAGAACTTGTCATGTTGTACAGGCGTGATGGCTCATGCCTTTAGTCCTAGCACTTTGAGAGGTCAAAGTGGGAGAATGGCTTGAGCCCAGGAGTTTGAGACAGGCTTGGGCAACATAGTGAGATTTTGTCCCTGCATAAAGAAAAGAAAAATTATCCAAGTGTGGTGCCATGTACGTGTGGTCCCAGCTACGTGGGAGGCCGAGGTGGGAGAATTGCTTGAGCACAGGAGATGTGATCACACCACTATACTCCAGCCTGGACAACACAGCAAGGCCTCCCAAAATATATTTATTTATTTATATGTATGTATATGTGTATATATATATGCACATACACACATACATATACACATTATATTTACATTTATATATACATACTTAACAGGACAAGTTCATATATATGTGATATATATATGTGACATATATGTGATATATATGTGTGATATGTGTATATGTGGCATATATATATCATATGAGATATATATATATATATGGTGGCTGATGAGGCTTGTGAAAGACCTGAAGGAATTTTTAGCATCCCAAGTTCCTTCAGGTCTTCAGCCACCTGTGTATTTTTACTATTAACTCTTTTAATAACTAACTGGTTAAAGAAATTATTAAAAGTAGTAAGTGGCTACTTCTCTTGTTATTGAATGCAGTTTCATTCATACTAGCATAAATTTGCACATACAGGCTTTTTTTTAAAGCTCTTCACCATAATTATTTCTAGTTTAGACAAAGTTCTCATACAGAATAGGTTCTAGAAACCAGGGACTGTCACTTTGTAGTTTTTATAGAGCATTTAATACATGTATTTTACTATTTCAGGTATCTTATAAATTGGAAAAGTTGCTCATTTTCAAGTGTCAGGAGTTAACTAATAATCGTTAATATAAAAGGAGATAGGAACGTAGAGCTCAGGATTTTGTTAATGTATTATTAAATCATTTGTTCTAGCACAGCAAGATGGATTGCTTACAGGAAACACGAGGTTATCTAATAGTCTTCCAAATTCTAATACAGATAGTTCTCAATTTATGTGGTTCGATAAGATCTTTCAACTTTACGATGGTGAAGTAGAAATGTACTTCAAGTGCCCGTACAGCCATTCTGTTTTTCACTTTCAGGGTAGTATTCAATAAATTGCATGAGCTAGTCAATGCTTTATTATAAAATAGGCTTTGTGTTATATGATTCTGCCCAATTAGAGGCTAATGTAAGTGTTCCGAGCATGTTTAAGGTTGGCCAGGTCAAGCTATGATGTTCAGTAGGTTAGGTGTATTTTGTGTATTTTCAGCTTAAGATAGATTTATCAGGCCGTAACCCCATTGTAAGTTGAGGTATATCTGTATACTTCTTTTATAATAACGGATTACTTACTTGGGACTCTTTACCTTGAGTATCACAAACCTTAAAATCAATTAACTTTTCTATGCACCCTTAGCAGAGATAGTACCACCTGAAAGTGTCACTATGCCACAGCCTAAAATTTTTCGTTAAAAATGAGACTCCAGAACCAAAAAAAAACAAAAAAGTGCAGACAGAGAAGAAGCTTTAGTCAGAATCCAGAGGTCAAGTCAGGCAGGGTCTTTAGTAGACAAAATTTGAGAATAACAGAATTTAAGAGGCAGAGGAGGAGGAGAATACATGAGAAAATCAGCTTTAGCAGATGGTCAGAAGTCTAAGTAAGTAGACAAACAAGGAGGAAAAAGGAACACAACTTTACAAAAATAGGGGAAAACTTGGAGTCACTAAAGGAGGAAGGCAGTCAAAGAAGTCACACAAGCCACTATATAGACACAGGATAGCCTTGGAGCCCTGTAGTCTCCTGAAATTTACATTGGCACCTCCTTTATGTCCGTCTCAGGTTTTCTTAGTTTGAGTTTTAACTCCTAATATTTAGATCACTGAACTAACTCTTCAGATACCTTTTTTCACATTTTAAATTAATTTCTGTTTTGTCACTCATATTTTGAGTTTGGGTATAGGTAGAATGTTGCACATCTCTTTAAGATCTTAAAAAATAGTTTTTTCTGTTTCTCTTTTTCTTTTTTTTTAGTATTAGAGGAAGGAATCCAACCAATTTTTCCAATTTAGTATTAGAGTAATATTTTTCAAAAGCATAATGATAACTCATCCTTTTTCATTTATATATAGCATATAAAAGCATCCTTTTGTAACTAATGAAAATTATTTTGTAATGCAAGTATTCATCTGTATCACTCTGCATCTAGAGGGACCAAATACTTAAAAAATCAGAATAATTACCAAAAGTGCTTTTATTTTGCTGACTCTCAGCTTTCATTCATTCATATGAAAGTACAATTAGAGCCCTTTTGAAATAGAGAATTGCAACTTTTGAGGCACTTTTAAGAGAATATGCTAGGTTATTATATATACAAATGAATATAATAAGGCTTGGTGCATGCCACTTTGTTTGCCTTTTAAGATTTTGAATGTTATGACTGCATAAAAAACCAAAAATCACAGAAAAATAATTTCATCCTTACTGAATTTAAAACTCATTACTAGAATTGAGTGGAATAGAGGTACTAGTGTTGTCAGCTTCTATGACCAAGCAACAGAAATTCTAAATTCAGCATTTTAAGGCAATGCAAATATATGAAGCATATTTTAAGTTTATGTTTATACTCCATACCTTACTCCAAGAAGAATTTAAGGCAGTTCAAATCCCACTTAAATTTATCTATTAGTCGTAAGTGCAATTCTCAATCAGTATGTATTATTATCCATAGGTCTTACTCATCCAATTCCACTGAAGAAGATACTTCAAAACAAAAGAAACAAAAATATCAGAAGAAAGAAAAGAAAAAAGAAAAAAAGAGTAAATCAAAAAAAGGGAAACATCACAAAAAGGAAAAAAAGAAGAGAAAAAAGGAAAAGCATTCTTCTACCCCTAATAGTTCTGAATTCTCCAGAAAGTAACTGAAACTTTGGCTTAAGCCATTAAATTTAAAAATTTTGTTGTTAAAACGTGTTTGCCCTTCCTTGGAATTTGCTATATGTTATGCTTTGCAATAAATCACAGCTTTTCCGATATACACATTTTTCGTATGTGGGACCATTATCCCTCTGGCAATATATTTTTAATGTGCTATGACTATAAAGTATTAAATCAGTCTTGTTACTTGATAGCCATGCCCCGAGTATAGCTATTTGTATATACTAAACGCATCATGTTTGGATTTGTGGCTGTGTGTTTGGCTAATGTTATTACTTCATAAAGTTGAATTGTAAAATGGCTTTATTATAGTCAACATGGGTTATCTACCTAGCGGTTAATGAGTATTGCTGAATCAGGTGTCTACCTTCCAGTGATGAAGCTAGGTCCTTACCTAGGGTAATGTTTTGCTCTTGACACAGGGAATTTAATAGCTTTATATACTGAACTATAATATCTTTTAAAAATAGTGAAGTTCTTCACTGTTGGTTTTTTTTTTAAATCTCTAGGGATTTTTTTCATGTGCAGCTGCTTAATGGTCTTGACTAGGCTAACCTTTTAAATGAATGGTGTCTGCAGGAAGATGATCATGAAAATATCTCTAACAAAGTTTCACTGTTCTATGAAATGCAGAATTTCTAGTACCTTCCTCTTTTGTTTTTGTAACAATTAAAATAGTTCTTTCTTGTATAAAGAGATTAATCTAGTTCAGCCTGTAAGTAAGTCTGCAGAGATGAATGCTGTGTTGGTCAGGATTTTTAGGATAGACTCCTGGGTTGTTTTACAAGTGTGCCATATTGGCATGTCTTTAAGTGATACCTCAAACACAGAAATTTTTATTTAGGAAGATAGCTAAATCTTTATTAGAACTGATTTTTATTGTATTCCATATGTAAATTTTATGAAGCTTGTTTCGATGAGTAATGTGGAAAATTTTACAAATGTGAGCATATATATTTATTTAGTCTGACATAATTTGTAGTTTTAAAGCAAATTTCACACTGAACGTACGGTTTCATAAATGACCAGTTTGGGGTGTTTTTCTCTTTTACTTTAGTGGCAACCTCAGGAGCAGTGTCAAAAATTTAGAATCAAGAATTCTATTCTGTACTTTTTAAAATTTAAGAGCCAGAGTTACATCATGAAAACCTTTATATAACAATGGAAATTTTATATGGGTAAGCATTTTCAAACACATATTAGTAGATATGTCTTTTAAATTTTTATTTTCACATTGATCAGTGTTACTTTGCTTAATACTTAGGTATCCTTTATGTCCAATAAAGTAAATGCTTATGTTGTAGAAGCATCAGACATCAACCAGTATCATGGCATAGCACCAAAGATTGTAAATACCTCACTATGGTGCACTTACAAATTTTTAAATTGTTAACCTACAGACATGGCTTCAGGCGAATTCATGATGGTGAAATCAGCTAGGTACACTTAACCTCACAGGCTAGAAATGTTTACTGATTCTTCTTTCACCTAGCACCCAACGTGAATACCCTCAGTAAGACTTGGGGAGCCTTATAACTCCTCTTAACATATGCTTATCCATGCTTAAATTCTAGGGAAGCTGCATCCACAGCCCTTTTCTGTAATAGCATTACAGCCATGAGAGCTCTCACACTTTTAGCCTTTCCATAACCTAATTTAGTCATTTGGGCCTCTCAAAAGGAAATATTTTTGTTTAAATAGGTCAGTCGGTTATTGGGAGAGAAATACAGAGCCAGTAGGTTTTCAGGGGTTTGGTTTGCCTTTGCTAATTTTTTGAAAATAGAGTTCTTCAGTTATCAAGATTTTAAAAATCAGTTTTTATAATATAAAGCTTTTTTAAAAAAACTGGGCTGGCCCAAGTGCAGTGGTTGTTTCTCCACTCCCACTGTTTGACTTGACTTGCCTTGAAAAAATAATAGTAAATATTAAAAAATGATTAGAAGATGCTATACAAAGGGGATGATCTCATTTCATTGAGTAAGACAGTTAAAAATGGTAGTAACTGTAGTGGAATAGTTAATTGAGTTATTTGTAAGTTTTATTAATGTTAATTGTAGAGATTATAAATTGGCTCGTTAAGTTTCTAAATGGTGACACAATTAATAATGATTTAGAGCAAAGTCAGTCCTTGTTAACTAATAAAGTATGCAAATTAAAATATTTTAATGATCAGTAATTTTCCCCCAGAAATTATCTTGCTGTTTTTAAGCAATTTCCCTAATTTTAGCATAGTTTATGAAACATCTCATCTGAATAAAAATTTATTTTTGCTAATAATTTTCTTCTAAAATGATATTGAGACTGGATGCGAATTTCAATACATTTTAGAAGAAAATTAATGAAACTTCTTCTAAAGGAAATTTCCAGGTAGTATGTAGCAGAAGGAAAACTGAATTTAGCAGTAAAACAGTTCTGGTCATTCTAACTACCTGTGTGATCTTGAACAAAGTCACTTAGCTTCCCTGGGCCTTGGTGTCTTTCATATATAAAATATTTACAGATTTTCTCTGAAATCACTTCTACTTTTAATATATGTGATTATCAATATTTTATTAAAATTCAAGCAATATTCATTTTAGAAATTATTATAGATAAGCAGCTAGCATTCTATAATAGTAAAGGTTGAATTTATAACAGCTAAACATGTTCAACTTCTTTAAGCTGATAATTGATATTTGATTCATATTCTTACCACCTAATGCATGTCATTTTCACCAGATGCAGAGAGAATTTATATTTAGGTTTGCATCTGTAACTATATTATCTGGCACTGTAGGGCCATTATTTTTGGGCTGATGGACCTACTCCCCACACAATTTCCCCTTTTTTTTTTTTTTTTTGCATATCATATCTTGTCTGATATTTCTCAGAGGTATCCCTATTTCTTCATACATAATGTATATGCATTTACACCTTTGGTTTTCTGAGGTCAAACAATAATAAATGAGAAGTAAAACAACTATATGTGTTTATATTTACAACTCTATCTAAAATTATATAACCCTTGGTTACCTTCAGAGTAAACTAGGCTGAAGAGTTGTTAATAATGTTGATAAAAATGCCATTGAGTCCTTTCTTCAACAAATACTGAGTACCTAACATGGCAAATGCTGTACTAAGTACTGGGGATACAGAGATAAGTAAAACACATTTGCCTTTCTGAAGGAGGTCACACTTTAGTTGGTAGGAGAAACACCAGAGCATAGCCGTTTTATAATTAGAGCAGCAATTGACATGAACATGGGTTTATGGAAGCTCAGAGGGATACCTAACCTAGTCTGAAGAAATTAGAAGCCGGGCACGGCGGCTCACGCCTGTAATCTTAGCACTTTGGGAGGCTGAGGTGGGTGGATCACCCGAGGTCAGGAGTTCAAGACCAGCCTGGCCGTCATGGTGAAACCACATCTTAAAAAAAAAAAAAAAGAAAGAAATTAGAAGAGGCTACCTACAGAAAGTCATGACTGAATTGTACTTTGATTAAGGATAAGAGTGAGGGTTATGGCAGTTCCTGACAGATTGGGTATGGTGAACAAACACCAGATGTAGAACAAGCTGTGTTAGGTGTGTGTCAAGAATTATAAATATTCTGGTGTTGCTGGTGTGTCATAGGCGAGACGGGAAGTGGTAAGAATTGAGACTACCATTTTAAGTTCTTAGGAACAAGAGGAAGGAGTTGTATGTTCCATGTTTGGGAGCTTGAACTGTAATTTATAAGCAATGAGACACCATTAAAGAGTTTTAAGGGGGGCCAGGTGCAGTGGTTCACGCTTGTAATCCTAGCACTTTGGGAGGCTGAGGTGGGCAGATCACTTGAGGTCAGGAGTTCAACACTAGCCTGGCTAACTTGGCAAAACCCTATCTCTGCTAAAAATACAAAAATTAACCAGGCATGGTGACAGGTGCCTGTTCTCCCAGCTACTCCGGAGGCTGAGGCAGGAAAATTGTTTGAACCCAGTAGGTGTAGGTTGCAGTAAGCCAAGATCACACCACTGCATTCCAGCCTGGGCAGCAGAGCGAGGCTCCATCTAAAAAAAAAAAAAGAGTTTTGAGGAAGGAAATGACTTATTGGGGTTTCGTTTTATCCATTTTGTAATCCAATTAATGCCACCATTTTTAAGAGATGAAATTGCTTTCATTGGAAGGCTACATAAAATATAATTTGATTATTTTAGGCTCTCTTATTAGACTTACATTTCTTTCTAAGGTCTCATTACCAAAAATTACACAGTAGCCTAAATCATCTAAAAACATGTAAAGCTACTGTATTCTTTATTAGACCCATCCCCAGAGTTATATGTACATGTACATACTTTGAGATGTGTTTTGTTCTTAATTGTATTTTAAGTTATTTTTGACTGGCTTAAATTCTACCACTATTTTAGTATTTGTTAGGTCCAAATAAATGATTCAGAATACAGTTGTCAGTGTACAGAATGTGCTGTAATTTAACAAGACCCCTTGATTTTAAGATTGGGTTACCCTGTGAAGCACAACTGCTTCAGAGTTACAGAGAGACATACCAATTGGTCCACTGGATGAGCCCTGTTCTACCTCAGGTCACCTAGTGAAAAGCTAGCTCAGCAAGGAGTGCTTCAAGGACTCCAGCTGATCCTAGTGCTGAGACCAAAACTTCCTGGACGTTGGGTGTCCAAGAAACAATAGGTTTCTTACGCCAGTGTGACAACAGCCCCAGTTGTGAAGGCCAGAGTCTTCCGACCTCAATTATCTCCTCTCAACTCCTCTAAAAATATGTAGAGTGGCAGAGAATTGGGGTGCCTCTCCTAGAGCACAGCCCATGATGCATCCAGTTATTCTTGGCCCCACTATGCCTTTTCCACAAGTTGGGAGGAGTCAGGAGCAGTGAGCATTTTGCTAGCTCTGTCTGTTTCCTGCTTCTTGTGCCGTTTATAGTTCTTGCCCTTGAGCAACAAAAGTAGAACAGTACCAGTGCCTTAACTAAATTTTTCTCAACCTAGATTTTCACCTGAGAAATACAGTAATATTATTAAATTACTGTATGTCAAGATAGCAAATTTTCTGGGATTCTTTAAAATTCCAAGTTGTATAAAAGATCAAAAAGTACCCATAAGAGCTTTATGAACTTTCACAAAAAATAACTGAAAATTCTTTGCTTTTATGACCATGTAAAATGTCATTTTTATAATGGAAATATCTTAATTTTCAAACTTAACATATACTTTAAGCAATTTTAATATTTAAACATTGGCAAAATTGTCTTCTGGAATGTAAAGTTCAACTCCGGCAGTAGGATGTTGAAATAGTGATCTGGACTGTGGTGCCAATATTGCGACATGGGGTTATTTAATTAAATAAATGAAAATTTTTATTTTTTTCAGCTGCATTAGCCACATTTTAAGTGCGCAGTAGCCACATGTGACTGGTGGCTATCATATTAGACAGTGCAGATATAGAATATTTCCATCATCACAGAAACTTCTCTTAGACAGTTCTGGTCTAGAAGATAACCATAGTTTTTGGCAGAAATTTTGACAGGCTAATGATGAAAAGTTTCTAACCCTGAACATTGCATGCCCAAGAAAAATAAGGCATTCTTTTTTATATATCAGATCAGAGAAGCTGTATTCCACACATTTTGAAATGCTAGTGTTTGTTTATGGCCATACCACCCTAAATGTGCCAGATCTTGTCTAAAATGCTAGTTTTCTGACTACAAAACATTACAGGACATAGTAGATATGCTCAGTAGAGCTGCTCAAAATTATTGCTTTTTTTCCTGTCGAATTCTATTACAAAACCAGGTCTGTGTTATAATAGAAAACACACTTATGAATAAAAATATTTAAAAATTATAATTTGCAGAAATTAGTTTTATTTCTAGATTTCTAGGTCATATTAATATGATAGCATTAGGTGGGACCAGAGAACTCATTTGTTTTGTAGCTTTCATTATACAGATTATTTAGGAGATGAATTATACAAAGGAAAACCTATCAAAACCTTAATATGTGTTTAATAAAGTAACTGATCAAAAATGCAGCTGTCTTGCTTTGTGAGTGACAAGTTTTTGAAAAGCAATATTACAAACTGTTTCAAATGTACTCTTTATTTTTATTGCCCCATCTCTCTAGCAAGCATTTAAAACACAGAATTTTTAGTTAATAAGCAATGTAGATTTGTGTTGCATCCATTGTTTTTTCTTGAATTATATCATCAGCTTCATGGTATGTTTCATTTGTTGTTTGTGATGCTGCATTTGAATTGAGGACTTTGGTTTTTCCATTTCACTTGCCTGCAGATACACAAAACAAAATGAAATAATTATTTGAAATTATGGCTCAAATTTCACTTAAAAATTTGCATTTAAAAATAATTTTTGTAGCAATATTGAAAATATGATGTCCTGAAAATGCTATGTGGATGAATAAAAATTGAATTATTTTGAAGTGGCTTTTGAGTATTTCCTCTAAAAGTCAAATAAGGGAAATAATTTAGTAGCAGAAACAAAAAATTTGATTTCCATGCTTACCTTTCTTTCTCCACGCTTCCATGAGGAAAACAACTACACATTTGAAAAGAAGGCAACAATTTCTGAGTGACTTAATAAAAGTGTGAGTGTCCCTCTTCTATGCATAATGTAAATAAACTACATTAAAGCCAATCATAACTTGCACAATCTTAAGGCTTTGCCATTATAACCAATTTAGATGTGGTTTATTAAAAGGACACAGTTGTGCCACAGTCCCATTCCCTCACTCCATATAAATATGAGTCTAAAATGAGCAAAGGTGAAAGAATATGAATCTTTGTTGATCGTAAGTAGACTAAACAAACATAGCAAATAAATGGTTTATTCGATGAATAGTGTTAGGAAAGTTGAATGATTGTAGAAATAATGTATCATTTCACCAATAGAAATTAAATATGTAAAAAACAGTGGAAGAAATCACAGACATTACTAATGACCTCCATGTTGCTAAATCCTCAGTCCGGTTCATTCTCATCTTATTTGATCTCTTAGCAGCAGTTGATCCAGTTCTTTCCTTGGCTTCCAGGAAACCATTCTTTTTGATTCCTTGCAACCTCACCATTGCTAATTACCTTCATGTTGCTAACTCCACAGTCCAGTGGCCAAAAACCTCTGGTCCTTGATTCCTCTCTTTTCTCTCACACCCTACATCTAGTCCATCAGAAATCCTTGTTGACTATACTTTTAAAATACATCCAGAATTAGACCACTTCTCATTGCTACCACTGTTCTGTTTTCAGCACAACATTCAAAGAGCAGTCCTGTAAAAAATAAGTTGAATCATG